ACTAGCTGCTGAGAAGTGGGGGAAAGACTGCCTTTTTGGCACAAATTTTGAAGTTTGCAGATTGGCAGAATGTGGATTAGTGGGGGTTCCCCTGAGGTAAGGGGGTGTGTGTGTGCGCGCGCGTTTCATGCATGTTTCTGCTACGGAGAGGCTGGATTCTGACAGTGTTAGTATAAACAATGAAATTTTGTCAAAGGTCTAACTGGGCAACATTCTTTTTGATCGTTTGTCACGAAAACAGAAAAACTTAATTCAGTTGTAACATCTTTCTTCTCCCTTCCGCTATGTGTGGGAGTATTAAATTAGTAGTAGTACCTTAGCTTAATTTGTAAGCTTTCCCTTTCATAAGACATTCCTTGTGCCCTTTCTTGTGTGAACCTAAAGCTTCCTTCGCAGAGTTAAATTACTCAGTTGGTGGGTTCCTTGGAGAAGTTTCAAGTAAGTTTCAGTTGCACATTGCTATCGCAGCTCAAGATATACTCCTTGAAAACTATCAAACTAACTAATCCTCTATGCACAGGGAGAACCAGGATCAGACATCTTCAGATTGTAGCAACTCTCCAGGGTAGGGACTGTCTCTTTTCTGCGTTTGTAGAATACCCAATACAAGGAGGCCCATATCCCTGGTGTAACAACAACAACATGCAAAAAGAATAAATGGGTACACATACACCTCAACCTAACAATACATTTGGGACACAATTTTGCCTTCTCGTATACTAGGGAAACTCCACTGGAGTCAGTGAAGATAGAACTGGGCCCCAGATGTTCATAATTTTCAGTGGGTTTAAGGAATACCACCAGAAGTCACTCATGGCTCCCCACTCAAAGCTACTGAACTGGGCTATTCAGAGGGCCTACCTATATGGATTAAAAGAAAATGAAACTCCATTTGGTTAGAATGGATCTGGGCTCCATTTAATCAATCCATGCAGTGATTTGGTACCTATTATAATGATACTGTGAGTACCCAGGGTTTGGAATGTTGAGTTTAAAGGTGCCCACTGTCTATGGGAATTGATCAGTAATCTGGCACACAGCTTTACATCTGGTAATCTGTAACATCATATGTTTACATGGATGTTATATTTCTATGAGGAATTCTACATCCAAATCTCTGTCAACAAGCTAAAACTAAAGCATGAAATTTGGATTGCAAATACACACTTCAGACATCTGTAATTAGCCCATGCAGCAACTGTTATATATATGTAATATATATAATAAACGTTTTAACAATCTCTGGTGAACACAACTGTTTCCACATATACAAATATCACAAAACCCCACTGCATTTCCTATCTGCCCAACTGGAAGTAACAAATAAGAGCACTGTAGCTGCTACAGCAAAACTAACAATATCATGTGAGAAAGATTCTCATTAAACTTCATCATTCTGTCCTCTTTAATGATGCCTTTACTTAATAAAAATTCCCTAAGCAGTTGCAAGGATATTAGGCGAGGTCTTTGGTTATGTATCAGGGGTCTAAGCTGTCACTAGCAAGCATGCAGTTCAGGAGGTGCATTCCCAAGAGGAAAGAGCAAATACAGCTTTCTTGTAATAAATTCAGAGAGAATCAATAACTGCAGCTTGCTACATTACTTAAGCATTTAAGAAAGTAGGTGATCCTTCTAAATTAAACTACAAATTGCCAAATGTTGCAATTTACAGCATTAACTAACAGGCATGAATTAAAAGGCACTAACAGGCATGTAGTGTGAAAACATTGACTCTTATTAACATCTGTAACTTTAAAAAATAATTACTGTTTAAAATTCACAAAGTTGGAAAATACTGTAAATTTTTTTTTAAATCACCATCAAAATAATTTCCCCCACGCCCTTTCTAGTCTATGTTACCTCCCTCAATAACTAAAAAGCTACATCTAAAGGCAGAGAGGGGAACAAGAACAAGCACAATCATAGCAAAAATGTATTAAACATACAAAGGAAATATCTAAATAGTTTGAGACCAGTCTCAGCTGATTTCAGAGTAAGGGTCAGAGTCTGACTTGTCCCCCCCCCACCCAAACAATATGTGTAGATCTGTGTTCGTTGCAGATTGTTTTTTTAAAGGCTAAAAACATGTGGCATTAGAGGACAGCACATTCAGGTAAAAGATTTGGGGCCCTAAGCATTTCCAAAGAGATTCCAAAATACAGCCATGGGAAAATGCATTGCTTTGTCACTGTGTGGTGAAGGAACAACTATAGGGTTTTTTTATGTAGAGTGCTATGAACATGCACAGTCACACACAATCCTGGATGAAATACTATCATCAGGTACCGTATCGTAAAAGGTGAGAAAAACATGAAAGATTCAGAATGCTGCTGCTTGTTGTAAATATACTGCTAGCTTCTCTAGTTTGTATGCAATGATTATTATAATTAATACCTTAGATACTGTAGCTAAATATTTACTTCAAAAGAACACACAACAACATTTCTCTCCCCCAGCCCCCAAGCAGGTTTTAGCCCTGCCTGTCACTGTTTCAGGATCTCCATGCTGCAAATGGGGCTGGCGTTTCCCTCTATGGGAGCTGCTACATTGCCAATGATACCTCAAGGTAGCCCTTGTACTGGGAAGGAGACCAATCCAGAGAATGCAGTTCACCTTTGCAGTGTGTGAAAGACGGAATTTTTAACTACTTTGAAAATGTCTTAAAATTTGTTAATTTACCAATAACTGTTACGTTTATTAATTAGGTGACTGTTAAATTAACAATAAACGAACAAGTAATATGAAAATCTGGTTTCCTCACACATTCCAAAGTGAACTGCATTTCCTGTGTTCTAAGTAGGGAAGTTCAAATAATTAAAAAAGATTCACTTATTCAATTAATTTAGTTCACCCCTGTGTTTGCAAATGCTCTGAGAACAGATGGCAGAATTGTCAGATGTATTCATTATTTGAAATTATTTGTGAATTTCTTCAGCAAATAATTCTTGGTATGCAGCTTGTTAGAGAACAGTTCACTGCGCATAATCAAAGCGCAGGCTGTGCTGGTTAAACAAGTCTTGTGGTGGTGTTTCTGCTTTGAGATTGGTTGGCTAATATCACTAAGCAACAATGAAGTGCTGCCAACATTATAACAAAGGGCTCCCACAAAGATGTTTCATCTCAGTCAGATACACATGATGTTTCCTGGATAAAATAATTTTCCCACCAAAACACGTCCATCAATTCCATACGCTTCCCTTCTCCAAATCCATCAGTCTTTCTACTCCATCACTCTTTTCCATTTCCCAACACCTTATGGTAGCTGCTCCATGTGTCTCCCTCTCCTGGCAGCCGTACTTCACCGCAGCACCAGTGATGGCACGCAGGTATCCTGCAACCTCAACTGCTAGTGGTAGTAGCAGATGCATTGTCCTGCACCTTCTGGCAGTGGCTTGGTTGTCAAGTAAGGAACAGGTAGATTGCCTATAGTGGGGAGCTGTCAAACCATGGTTCTATATGCGGTTTAGAGTACACATGGGCAACTGCTGTAGCTCTTGGAAGTGTCAGATCAATGGTCTTCCTCAAGGCTCAGTTCTTTCACTGATACTCTTCAATGTGCACATCACTGACCTGCCAGCTACATTCTCCCACAAGTTAATCTAGGCGGACATCTGCTGCAGCTACCTAGCTCAGTCCTCAGAAATTGACTAGGTCTTGAATGATGATATGAAGCTCATGGCAGACTACTGTAGTCGATGGCGCCCAGAGCTGAGCTTTTCCAAGACGGTTTCTAGTGCATTTCATCTGCATAATGCAAGCCACGAGTTTAAAGTTTTCCTCAACAGCCAATGCCTGCAGCATGCTCTAAACCCACTTTACTGCAATGTGACATTGGATAGGTCATTAATATACTGCAACCGCTTGAGGGAAGATGGCAGCCAAAGTCAGCGCTTGAAACAACGTGCTCAGAAAATTGACTGGTTCGATCTGGGGTGGAGCACCTGGATACTTAGAACATCAGCCCTTGCTATTCAACAGCAGAGTACTGGGCTCTTGTCTGTTGTCGCTCATCTCATATGAGGCTGGTCACTGTAGAGCTTAACAAAGCTATGAGTATTGCTACTGGGGCTTTACAGGCAACTCTGTTGCCATGGCTACCAATACTTAGTAACTTAGCACGACCCTGTATTTGCCGTGAGAAGGTCTCTGTCATGCTGCTGGCTAAGAGCCATGAGAACAGCGACCTGCTTTTGTACGCAGGCCCCTTCAACCACCTGCCAGCTCATCTGTCTTCTAGACGACCTTTATGGTCATTTATGCCCCTACAGGACATGACAGTGGAATCTGCTTGGTGCAATGAGTGGTCAGTCATTAATCACTTTCTTGTCACTAACTCAACCATCTGTCCACCAGGGTTTGATTTGCAAGTCACCTGTGGTCATCCCTGTACCGGTTTCGAGCAGGACAGACAACTGTGCAGCCAATCTCTCTCTTTAAATGGGGCTTTTCTAATGACCCACAAAGCAGCTGAGGTCAACTTCAGTCTATGTCGCACATCCTTGCCGAGTGCCCACTGGCTTACAGTAACTCCTCACTTAAAGCTGTCCTGGTTAACGTTGTTACACCGCTGATCAATTAGTAGGGTTACCATACGTCCTCTTTTTCCCGGACATGTCCGGCTTTTCGGCAGTCAAACCCCCGT